TTTGCTCAAAACCACATAAATTCGTATTATAACATCGACAGAGACCAAAAAAATAAAATAAAACATTGAAATCGATATATATATAATTTTTATGATATATTCAAATTTATATTTTATATATATAATTTTTATGATATATTCAAATTTATATTTTATTAAAAAAATATTATTGTTTGCTCAAAACCACATAAATTCATATTTATAACATTGACAAAGACCAAAAAAATAAAATAAAACATTGAAATCGAGATATATCTCACTGCATTATATAAATATCATTCTAGTTAATCATAGAACCACAACCGAGTAATCAAATATATATTGGAAAAGATCCCAACAAAACCCTCATCAAGAAGTAAATATTTGAATTTATCAAAGAAAATATAAGGAATAAAAAAGAAAAAAGAGTTGCGATATTCTTTTTCTGGCCATGGTTGATTGGTCATCTCATCGTGATTGTCATTTGCAAAGTCTATTTACAATTACACCAATTCTTGATTCTCCGGTCTACCAAAGACTAAAAGACTACTTCCCAGCCCCACATTTCTTTTCCTCTTTATTTTAGAAACAAATAAATATTTCAATGGTCTCTTCTATATTATATATATTAGAGAAGTGTTTTCACAATACAGCAAAATACATCTCGATTTTAATGCTTTTTTTTGTCTCTGTTGATGTTATAATACGGTTTATATGGTTTTAAAAATATTATTGATGCTATAATACGGTTTTATGTGTATGTACAGCTTGAAGAAGATCTTTCACATCTTTCGAGATCCACCCTACAATATAGCCAAAATAAGTTATTTTAGCCCTTATAAGAAAACTGATTCTTGAACACCTTTCACGCTCGTATCACATCGAGGGTACTCCAAAAGAAAAAAAAAACTACAAAATTCGATCCAATTTATCATAATTGATTAGTTAACATGTTGGTTAGACGTATTTATCTTTAATAACATCTTTTGTTTTAGAAAAATCATGAATAATCAAAATAATAATCATAAAAATTATTTTTAATTTGTTTAATCTTAAAAAATATAATTAACTTAATATATTTTTAGCAAAATAATAATTACAAAGGTTATTTAGTTTAATTTAATCTTAAAAATATGATTAAGTTTATAGTATTAAAAACATATTTACTTAATATATTATTAGCTTATTAATATGAAGGGGCATAAAAAAAAAGAGTCATAAAGAAATATAAAAAAGGTTTGAAATGATAAATTAGAAATGGTTTGAAACAAAAAATTATGGAAAAGATTAAAAATAAAAATAATGACATTGTTTTCTATGTTTTTATTGTTTCTTTAACGTAAATAGGTTATGGAAAATTAACAGGTCTAACTAGGAGAGAGTATAAACAGAATTTATTTAATTTTATTATCAAAATATTTAATAAAAAAATTACACCTCATAATATTTAATTTCAATTTTTTTTTTTTGATTGAATTATTTTTCTTGTTGACAAATAAGCTCAAAGATTTTCCAAGCTTGAAGAATTGAATAAAAATGTTTTAAATTTGGGGAATTTCTATGTTCTCTTTTACTTTTTTTTTATCTATAGAATATTTATCATACTTAGAATATATATAGTTGTGAAACCTACAAAACCTTAATTTTCATATTTTTTTTATGTTATATTATTATCATCTTAAACAAAATAACCTTAATAAAATTATTTAGTCTAGGTTTTTACAAAAACCCCCATTTTCT